ACGAAGATGAGGGGGGGAGGATGCGAGGGGAGAAATGAGAGAAGGGGGGCGACCAGGGTTACCGCTCTTGGCGACCGCCTTGGGATTGGACTTCATCCTTTCGTGTGAGAGGTTCTGCACAATGATTTTGCAAAATTTGCATATCTTCTTTCTCTGCGGTAGACGTCCTCTCTCTCTCCTCGGCCGAATTGCATAACCACCTCTGTTGTTGGTCGAAATCTTCATAGCTTGTGCCCATGTCCTACCACGATACCGATGTAGGCGAGACTTTTTTTAGGTGTGGCTTGGCACGATGGTCCTTTCATAAGTGGATTAGGGTTGAGTTTCCCCACAAAAAGAAGAAATGCTGCCTGTCTCTCGTGAGCTGGGGTGAAGGACGATAACGGATGTTCAAGGGGAGGATGGACAGGGAAAGTAATTAGGGTTGTTTGTATAACTTCGTAAAAGGGAGGTCAGTCAATCCCCTCCTGGAGAGGGTAATCAATGCTACCTCCTGTTGTGTATCCATTTGATTGATTCTTGTAAACTTGGCTCCTGGTGCATGTCATTAAAGGGACGCTAGACCTCTTTTCCAGCAGGTGCAGCTCCCCACCAATAGATTGGAGCCATCAACCCTGCGAAGCCTGCTAGAGGAGGATGCTCTTACCAACTCCTGCTAGCAGGTGCTTTCGCGCTCATGAGTGCTTTCGCGCCCAAGATGAGATAGATGCGAAATAATATATATACACATAAATAGATTGAGAGAAGAATATAGATTAGTTATATATATTTATACAGGGTTGCCAGACCCAACTTACGGAGGCCCCTAAGCAGACCCCCGAACGCCGACACCTAAATATTATTTTATTTTTTCTGTGAGTTCCTTGTGATGTAAGGTATCTCCCTCTTAATTTCGAAGTCATTTTGTTCAGCCAAAACAAAATGAAAAATCGGCAAAGATGGTGGTGTCAAAACTTGCTAGCCCACTCACTAATTTGTTTTTTCTCTTTTTTCACTTTTTTTTTTTCCCCCTTTATTTCGTGCCATGAAACAAAATATGATTTTTTAAAACTTTATTAAAGTTTATTTGTATATTCTCTATTATGTAAGATACACATATACAAATTTTCATGGCATTTGTCACAACCAAAAAAAAAAAAAAAAATCACCAAAGATGGCGGTGTAAAAAACGTGCTCGCCCACTCGATAATTTCATTCTCGTTTTATTATTATTTTATTATTATTATTTTTTTTTTTTTTGAGCAACTCAAATTCATTCCAAAATTGAGACAGACACAGCCCCGGGAATACACCTCGACAATACAACCCGGTACATCAAACATGCTCGGGCCATTACCCAACTGTGGGCTTATGAAAACTGGGTCCAGTGTCCCACCTCTAAAGTACTCAAAAAAAAAAGAGAAAAAGAATGAAAGGCTTCTGCCAGGCGGATTATCTAATCTCTTCTTCCGAGCAATGAATTAGCAGAGATGACTCAGATCTAAAAGCCCCGTGTCTGAGCTCCTATCTACTTCAACTTTCTTTGGTCCAACAGACCAACAAACTGTAGCCTCAAAAGGAAGAAGAACTCCTCAAAATAGCCATGAAGCGCAGAAAAGGGTGGCTGAACTAATCATAGCAGCAATACTCTACTCCTTCAGCCAATCTCAAGAAAGTGTCGGCGTGTTTCTGGGGTCGAAGCACTAATGGCAAAGAACAACAAACTATATTCAACAAATCTCGAGGAGGCACAAGGCAATTCACGACGATTATGCAGTTTAACCCTAAAATTATTTCCAAAAGTAGACTAAATTCTCCGATACATTTCACATCTAAATTTTCAAGGCGAGAACTCACTAAATTTTAAACTGGATATACTAATATCAAGAGAAATAATCGATTAAAGACAAGCAATCCAACTTACACGATCTATCAAACTACAAGGAAAAGGAGACTCAATAACTAAGAGCTGGGAGGGAGGAGTAGACATTAGGGTTACTCTTAACCTCACTATCCAAAACACTGTAAAGAGTCTTTGTTGCCTAGACGGGTTTCCCACCACGCACCCAATGGATACAACTCTAGTTTGCTCTTCACCGGGTCTCTCATATCGTCCGAACCCTGTGAGTATCCCCCTAAACTACTACAACTATACCCCAGTACTTGAAAATAAAGAGAAGCTATGAGTCTCAATCATATATGAAAACCACAACAATCGATAAATGGCAATTATTTTACCCTCGCACCCGGGAGACGTTCCCACCACCACTAGCGAGTCTCCCACTCCCGCTTGTGGCGCCGTCACCCAATGGACTTCGGGGCTTTATAACCATCCAAATACCGAAAACCTGCGAGACTGCAGACTAAAAGAGCGATCTCAATGACTAAACGCTGGGCGGGAGGGCTGAACATTAGGGTCACTCTCTCAACCTCACATCCCAAAACGCTGTAAAGAGCCTTTGTTGCCTAGACGGGTTTCCCACCACGCACCCAATGGATACAACTCTAGTTTGCTCTTCACCGGGTCTCACAAATCAACCTACCCTGTGAGTATGACCCTAAATCACTGCAAGCATACCCCAACTCTTAATAATATCAAGCAACTGTGAATCTCCATCTAACATAAAGACTCAATACTATTGCCAACAATAGATGAGAACACAGCCCGACCGGAATGAACAGTAAAGCATCTAACAGAAAGCTACGCCGTGCATATCTGCTGCGAAAACTATAGTCGAAAAGTCTAACGAAGAAAACTCAATGACAAGAGATGGAAAGGATGGGTAAGCATTAGGGTGATCCACACATCAACGCTTACCTAAACACTGTAAAGAGCCTTTGTTGCCTAGATGGGTTTCCCTCCACGCACCCAATGGGTACAACTCTAGTTTGCTCTTCACCGGGTCTCTCGAATCATCCCAACCCCATGAACTTCACCCTAAAAACCATCGCAAACCAAATTAAACGAAAACACAGAACATGAAGTAAGTGCGCGTCATACTGCCTTGCGACGAAGGTAGGTCAAACGAGACTTGCTGCAGCCGCAAACCAAGTTAAGTGAAAGCTCAGCGTGTGAAGTAAGTGAACATCATACTGCCTCGCGACGAAAGTAAGTCAACCAAGACTTGCTGCAGCCCTTGAGTATGCCGGAGCGCTGCCACCGCAGCCGCACACTCTCCCACTGCGTCCAGGTACGCCACTCCGCCTTTCGTACTTTCCTTTTAATCGAGGTAGTCAGGATGACGTGTCGTAAGGTACAGCGCGCGGCCTTTAGGTGTTAAAAAAGGAGCCCCCCTTTTCCAGCAGAAAGCTTGAGGGGAAGGCGGCTCCTCTGGTATCAATGTCTTGTGAGGTCTGTAGGTTGGTATAGAGGTCCAATAAGGAGCTGCCAGGATGCCTTGGCATACGAGTGCAAAGGCACTCCCTACCCACTCAAGGGCTAGGCTACGCCAAGGCACTGTCGCCATAGCTCTCACACAGCTATGGTGCCTGGCAGGGTAGGTGCCACGTTGGAATCATAGAACCCGAAGCTCAAACGCCCCACCTACACAGCCGCGACTAACGAGGACCGGGCTCCGCCACCGCCGCTGTCGCCGCTGCGTTAACGCACACTCGCGAGGCCCCTCCAGTCTTTCATGTTTTCTTATTTTCATTATTATACGTTGAGGCAAATGTTGTTTAGTTTATTCTTCTGTATAACAGTATAACATATATTTTTTTTTCAGATTTTTAAACCATTTTTTCGATTTTTTTTCTTTTTTTTCTTTTTTCTTTTTGGGTCCGTGTTAGGCCGAATGGCCGAACGCGTGGAGAGGGGATGCCGAACGCTCGGGCTCTCAGGTTTGAGGCAAGAGTTACGCTGGGCCCGGTTCCCAGTTTGTACCAATCAGTAAGGAAATGGTTGTATCTATGGGACGCTGGACCCGGTTTCCAGCAGGTGCTGCTCCCCACGAATAGATGGAGCTTGTCTTTCTCAAAAAAAAAAAAGAGTTATTCAGCCAGGCTCGCAGGTCAGCTTATTTTCCCGAGCCACCCGGCCGTGCAAGGACACGGGAAGGTCCAACTGATGCAGATCAGCTTATTTTTTCCCGAGCAGCCTGGCCGTGCAAGGACCAAGGAAGGTCCGACTGGTGCAGAGAGGCCCTAGACTGACGGTCATTCGTTTGACTCACGCGGTCAACTGCCGGTTCCAGTTCGTTCTCTTGTGACTGAGGTCATACTCAGACCAGGACTTTTTCAACTAAGCTTCTGGACGTGATTGCGGTAGGATTCATCCCGCTCTGCCCGTACCGAAGTTAGATACAGTTTGGAAAGTCCTCGTGTGAGTAGAGTCGCCTGAATTATGTGTGAAAGCTAATCGCGTCAGGATAGGTTGGGCCGGACATAAGGAGTAGCGGTGAAAAAGCGAGGTCATCGCCTATCGTAGGCATTACCCTCCCCGCCTGGGCATTACCCTCTCTCTCTCCCAACGGCTCTGTCGTCACCTAACTCCGCTGCAGGAGCACAGCGGTAGTGTAGTATTGAGCGCTGGGTGTGTGGACCTTTCTCTTCTGTTTTCTTCCATCTGGATGTGGGCCCCCCGCCCTTCCCCCTTCCCCACCCTCCACCCCCTCCCCCCCCCTCGCCCCCTCGCCCACCACCGCTCACCAAATGCGAAAAGACAGAAATATGGTGGCTGTATTTTGCGTCGTTGTAGCGAATGATACATTCTCTTTGTGTACATTTGGTGCGTTGTCCGGCGAGGGCCGGTAGGTGAGACAAAGTGGTGGTCCCATGCGTTTCGTTGAGGAGAAAACGGTAGAAGCGAGGAGAGCAGCGAAGGACAGAAGAAGGGAGAGTGGAGGTGATGAAAACGCGTGGAAAATGAAGCATGCAAGCCAGCGAGCCAACGAGAAACCAAGCAGTTCGTTAGGAGGAGGAGGAGGAGGAGGCGGAGGGATGTACAAGGTGAAAGGAAAACGTGTGAGGTTCAGCGATCGTTAGATGGGAAATTAATTGGAGGGAGTCGGGTCATACTCGCA